TCGGCTAACACTTTTTGACGGTCTTATATTTCAGGCAGATCCTCATCCAATATTGGCTATCAAGTTTTCAGGATCGGTTGCTTGACCTTTGCCATACTAGGTGCCTCATTTGCTGTAGGAATGATCGTTATCGCATCCTCAGCAAGGAGGAGCCACCGCCTTGGGGCTCATTCCACGCAGGGTAACAGCAACCTTTCTACCGTGGCTGAGCGATCAACCACCATTGCAGTTGGTATGGATGACTCCACCATTGAATCTTACCAGAAGGTAGTCCTAGGTGAAAGCCAGGGACTCCCCGGACCCAATGGCAGCACTTGCAGTATCTGCTTGTCAGAGTACCAAAGCAAGGAGACACTGAGATGCATACCAAAATGCCAGCACTGCTTCCATGCAGGCTGCATTGACGAATGGCTTCGACGCAACAGCACGTGCCCGCTGTGTCGAAACTCTCCATCCCCTGCCCTGGTTAGTTTACATATTGTTTGATACGTGACAGTAAACAGTCACAATATGGATTCAACATTCCGTTTATACGTGACAGAATTCAACTACATACTGTATAGACGACAGGAGCATGACTCATATTTTACAAATTAACTAGATGATACTGATTCTTGAGGTAATGAATATTAGAGATAAGTGCCCAATGAAAACATAAGACATATAGTAATACTCGTCATGCCAAATTTCAACATTCAGATTATATAAGCAGAAGATTACAACTCTGCTGTTTGACCTTTTTCCGCTAAACTTAGCCAGAGATAAAAGGAAACAGATCCAAATTATACAGAATTTTCATTTTTATAGAAGCAAATACCACAACAACTACAAGGTCAGATGAAAGCCTACCAAAGAGATTCACTTCTTGGCCAGCAATTTCTTTGGAAGCTTCTCCAAAGGGGTTGATTTTAGCAGGAAAAGCCTGGCAGCCCGCTCTTGCAAAGTACCACCACATTTCAGCCCACGTTCCTGCAGTTCAGACTTCAACCTCTCCATGCCAAGAACCTATTAAACAATTGAACGGTCAGATATAGGATCAAAGCTGTAAATATCAAACAACCATCCAAATAAAACATTATAACAAAAGTCATCAATTCCGGTATAGCTGAAGCTTAATTCCTATTTTAGTGCAAACTTCACTTCAAGATATCTTATTTCAGGACAATAGTTTGTGTGGTATGGCTACATCATGTATACAGTATATATAATAAAATGAACTCAAGGGTTAATTGTCAGAGAAGTTGGCAGATCAAAAAAAGATATGGTGGTCAAAGAACACTATCCTCCATTTTCGGAAGAAAAAGGTAACCAGGCACGTAAAGGAAATGGAAACAATTGAATAGTCCATGA